TCATGCGACTGGTAGAACTCGCACCTCCACTCCTTTCTTTTCTGAGCTAATTTTCGCATTGCCCTAAAACTAGAATATCCCACTAACATCCTTAACTATTTGCGAACAGTAATCTAATCTAGTTCTACCTCTACTCTTCTTAACTCCTGTTTCTTTCTCTAACATGTCCCTGACTAGACCTTTATGTCAACCTATTTCGCCTATTTTTTATTGACTTCCATAGAGTCCTCTGTTCTCCTATTCCTTCCAATACCTCTTCATTTCTAACCTTCGCTATCCACGATATCCTCGTCATTAGCCTGTAACACCGCATTTCGAACTCATCTAACCTTTTCTTTTCAGCCGCGCCCACCGTCTATGTTTCGCACCCGTACATACACTTTTAACAATCTTTTTCGAATTTCTAAATTAATCGTTAGCGACCATAGAAGTGACTTTTTTATTGAAGGCGGCTCGGCTTTGTGCTATTCTTCGCTTTATATCCCTACTACTCCTTCCGTTCTACCTTATTCAACTTCCTAGAACCTAAAATCAGCCACTTCTTCTAATCTTTCCTTTCCTATCTTTATATTCGCTATTTCCCTACTTTTTATTCTCTTTAACATTCTCTAATATTGTTAATTACTTAATTTTTAAAACAATCAGAACGAAATACTGATTACTTTTTGTTTATGTGATAATTGAATATAAAATTTATGATGGAATATCAAAAAGAATCAGTCATGGCTTTTGAATATTGACCCTTCTAATGTTCAAATCGGGTAATAGATGTCTGAGTAACTTCATAGTTATATAAATACCCTTATATGTTTGTAATACTAATCATCGAGTATCGAGAAATAAAACATTAAAATCGTGTTATCGTAATATGAAGAAGAGTGTTTTCAAAGTTTGATAACTTCATAATAGAGTCTAATTGTGGTACTCAGTATAATTGTTGGATGCAAACAATCGCGATGAATGAAAGATTGATAGCAAAATGGTTTAAACTCGATTGAGCTGTCGAATTAATCAGACCATATCGGCATTGAAGCTTCAGTTAGTATCTATTATGTTATTATAACCATTACTAACTAAAGTGTATTTTTTTTATATTTTAACCATTATGTTATTATTTAAACCACAAAAAAATATACATGTATGGATAAAAGTTCTCGGAACACAGAAATTACGTATTTGATTGTCAGCATTTTTGAAAAATGCACAATTTAATGATATGTGGAATGTATTTTCTCAACCATGTCTATCTGTAAATATCACCTACTTCTTCTGAATTAACCGAACTCACAAAATCTTTTGAATAAAGCATAGTCCCTCAAAAGCTTTAATAAAATGCATTTACTGGACTTATATTACTTTATTAATTACACGAAAAGAATTTTATATCTTCAGATGTGAACTCATTTTATAGCGGAGGATATCATTGTATAAGGAATTTGTGGTTAGAATTGTGGCTTGTTCGATACATCAATCTTTAAATCCCTTTTCCACCCTTTTTGGAGACTACAGTTCAAAAATTCCATCCAGTTTATCCCTTTATACAGGGTGTTAAAAACCATAACATTCGATAATAATTATGCATTTATTTAACGAATGTTTTAATCGCAAACATAGAGAGATGCTAGTGGTAGATTGACAACCGAACATAAAAACAAATACCTATAGTCATTTATTTAGATATACAGGGTGCCGATTGACTGGATTAATCATTGAAGTTTAATAACTCGACAATAGTACAGTTAATGTAAAATTGTATTGATAATTTTGTACTTAAAAATTTTGCGCTCTTCCCGATGATATACAGGGTGTCACATAAATAAGTGCCGAGTTGGCAACACAGGTCTACTAAATGGCATTGAGTGGTGAAAACACGAATCCACTTGCGATTCAAAATCAGTTTCAAGCAAGGTTTGCACTCGCTGCAAATGATAACGATGCAGCAACTGTTACTTTAAAATTTGCCAGTGTCACATGAGGGGAACCAACGTTCCCCGTTATTTCGAGTGTTACATTTTAGGGAATGTTTTCTTTAAAATCGAGGAATTCCGCCAAATGATTCAAACATGTTAATACGTACATGTCACAATTATTTTAACAACTGTTCTACAGTGATTGACCTACACAAATTATTGATGTTGTATTGCTGAATTAGTTTATTGAACTGCACATCGATAACCTCATACAAGGTTTAAACGTCTAAAGAATAAACGACTAGCAGAGGTTAACAGTTGACATAAATACCCTTAATAACTTTTAATCTACTCTAACGCATGAGCCAAAAAATACAAAACAAATACTATACTGATGCTGGTATATAATCACCAGCTGATTGAGTGCAGCGTTGCGGGTCGTATTTCTTTATCAGGGCCGGAATTAAATTTACCTGTACTTTTGTCTCGAAACGGCGAAAATTTGAACGTAGGAACATTTACTTAATTTTCATGTACCTAGCAGTACACGAACATACTGTGGCATAATATATTTTTTGTCATATGTTAGCGCGGAAAGCTCATTTTGCGTGCTATGAAATAGGGAAGAAATGGCCTCTTTTCAGCCGTGTTTTAGTCGGGAGGCAATGAAATTAGTCTTTTGAGCGCATGCGCTCAAGTTTATGGGCATGCGCAGAAATCAGTTGTTCAATGACAATGTCTTTCTAACCTCTAAATCATTTACTCTTATTTGGCCAAATATCAATTTAATAACGAGCGTTCCGCATAAACATGACAAAAAATAGTATACGTACCTCGAGAAGAAACAGGGTTGTCTTAGACTGCATGTTTTCACATTGCAGTCTGAAATAACCCTGCTTCTTCCCTCGATACGTAATGTACTATTACAGATGCAATTATCCATTTCTGTCCTCATTTCGTCCGTCTCATTATTTTCATCCCCACCATTAATTCCTAAAGTAAAGGTCTCCAACCTGCGTTCCGCGGGCCGCCTGCGGTCCACGGAAGCTTCATTGGGGGCTCATTAATAGCTTAGCCAAATTTAATTAATATACATATAATTTCGTAAACTTAATTAGAACAACAGTCTAACATCTTTTTAATGAGCGCCACTCGTAATGACATCGCTATAAACCGGTTTTGTCCTAATGGCACATTCATGAGCCCTTGTATTGTGGTCCGCCGAATCAANTGTGAACTGATATTAGGGAATTAGTATATATATATATATGAAGATGTTCCGCTATCAAATTACGGTCAACATAAAAATTATTATACGACTAATTGTCTCGTTAATATTCAAATTTTGCAATGTCTTTAATCAAACGTGTGACATTTACGTTTCTAAGGCAAATAAATTAGGAGATTTTTTATTTCTGGGACTTACCTACTGTCGAGTTGGCGTTTATTTTTAAACGAAAAAATATCGTCTGCGGTTTTTCTATGACAAACTGGATAATAAATTAAGTCAAAGGATGGACATCGTTCCGATAAGTTGTCTAAATAATGGCGATTGTCATTTGCTTCAGAGAATTGACCGCAATATGTGATTTGATCGGTAATTTTAAAATTAGTGCACATCAGTGGCGTTCTTAATTATAAGGGCTGGAAGGAGCATTAAAAAATATATAGGAAGTCGCAGTGAAGCTCATTTTCTATAAAATTCCAAAGCAGTTGAATGGTTGTTGTATAAAACTTGTTGCATCTTTAATATTAAATATTAAAAAATCGAATTTAATTCCCATTAACTTTACATGCTGGTGGCCCCGCGATCCTTTCGACAACAACTGTAGAATAAAGATGAAGACTCTCTTCGCCCTCACTCCCTTTAAGTTCAATTTATACGTTTACATTAACATCCGTTTAATTGTATTAATTTCGTTTTGCTTATTATAATTTTTAACTGCACTAACGTTTCTGGCACGGACACTGATCAAGACTGATGGCTCGTTTGAATGGGCATAGCAAGAGCTTTCAAACGAAATATCTTATAAGTCCGGGTGATCAAGTATTTCCAAGGTATAACCTAACCTAACCTACCCTATGTTCTATGATATCCTGTCACTGTTACAAAACCGGTTATATATCAGGAATGTATAAGCATAGTAAGATCTTTCAAATGAGGTATACAATAAGTCCAGAAGAAAGTTTTCCAAAACCTAACCTAACCTAACCTAACCTAACCTAGCCTAGCCTATGTTCAGTGATGTCCTGTCACTGTTACAAAACCGTTCATATATCAGAGATACATAAGCATAGCATGAGCTTTCAAATAACGTATACTATAAGTCTGGAAGAAAAAGCATTTCAAAGATATAACCTAACCTAACCTAGCCTATGTTCACTATCACCAAACTGTTCATATCTCTGGAATGCTTGATCTCTCGGACTCATTATTCAGAGTGGTTCTGAAATAAGTAACAAGTTTGCAGGAGGTGAAAAGGCACCACAAAACAAGAAAATTAAGTAAACGTTCAGCGGTCCAAAAGTCCGCCGTTTTCGAGAAAAAAGTACAGTCAGGAGCTAATTCGGCCCTGGTAGAATTACAGCTGCAGCATTCGTGTTATACGAGTATTTCTTTTGTATTTTGTGTTCTTACACGAGGTGTACTTTAAGTGGTACTGCATACTATGAACAAAGTAGTTATTTAATTAATTATTATCGTTATCAGCGTCTAAACATTATTATGTGTAGAAGTACAAGCTGTTCATATATACTTTGTTGGTCGTTTCACAACTGTCACTGTTTACATTTTTCATCGATGTGGTTGCTTAGATCTGTACGTTGCCAATTCACGCCCAGGGCCGGCTTCGCATTGCAATATCGTCTGGTTTTCCCAAAAATCTTTTTATCCCTTAACCGCTCTGCCTTACTCATCACGTGACTCCCTATTGTATCCAGTTAACACTCTCCAAAGTTTGCTACTTATTTCAGAAACACCCTGTATCATCTGAAAGCTCTTACCATGCCTTTTCAAACTAAACCAGGACCAAGCCAGATATTATAAGTAGTAGTGCCATTTTTAATTATAAAATGAACATGCTTACTTACTTTACATCCCTCACATGTGAAGGCACCAAAATGGAAACCAGCAGCAGGTTCACCGCACACTTTACAAGTTTGATTCATCTGAAAAAGGAAACAAAAAATCAAAGTTATTCATTTGTTCCGTTGTTCCTGTTGTTTAGAAAATAAAATTAGGTTAGGTTGGATGTATACAAGGCAGATTACGTATACGCCGGTACTGACTTTGACGAAACAACAATTTAACTACGTAATTCAAGTTATTATTTTGGATTAGATTTTATTATTCTGGCTAAAATTTTCGTGTTCAGCTGGTGTAGGTGCGGGTGGGGCTTTTGTGACGAAAATTATTATAATAACAGCAGTGGGTACAATACCAACAATAAAAATAATAATAGGACAAAATAGGGAACCTTGGTCTTAAGTATATGGAGCATTATCTCATAATCGCTTTGACCGTGGTATCTGGAATGGAAAGTCTTTGTTGTGTAAATTTCTCGCGCCCGACACGGTAACTCTGCTGCGAAATCAAAAGTGAGCTTTTTCTAGCGGAACACGCCGGCCATCGTAATGTTTGCTAGTGTGAATAGTTGACCGTGAACGTACGGATAATAACATGAGCGAATATATGGAGCGAGGAAAATACATTGTCCATTATGGATCAATTTCTATCCAAACATGATGAATAATAGACGTAATGCTTTTGAATAAATTGACAATTGTCAGAGAGCTTTGAAACAGCTACTAAATTTGGAAGAGTTTAATAAAATTATAATCACCAGATGAGAGGACTCAAAATAAACGAAAAAAAAACTTTCGGGTGTTTTATTCTCACCAGCTAGTAATGCTGGTGGGCGGGCAGTCCCTCCGGACACGCCGGAAGGTAGGGCGGAAGGCCCTCTTCAGCCTGCTTTCAGGAATCGTGGGAATGGGTGGGTGGTGGTTCGGGTGAGAAAGATGAGACGGACGAAATGAAGACAGAAGAGAGTGAAAGATTATCTGTGGAATATTACTGATCCAGCATTTGCCTAAGTGATCCAAGGAAACCACAGAAAAACTTGGACCAAGACAGACGGACCCGGAATCGAACCGGCTTCCTCCCGAATGCTAAGCAATGGTCTAAATCTCTAGGCAATGCCGCTCGGTTCAAAGTACATATATGATCGTGCTAGATCCTTACGGAAAATAGTCTTCTGTCAAACTTTTGAAACTTTGCATTCAGGTAGTTCTCGACGTACAGGTCAAAAATCTCAACGATAAAATAAGTCAAATATTAATGTGAAAATTTATTTTCAATTTATACCAATCGAACGCGTCAATCTTTCGTAGCATAGTGTCCAGAGCATTGGCGCTTAAACCCAAAGGTCCCGGGTTCCTTCGTATCGGTATTTTTCTTTTACAAACATACTGACATTCGTTCCAATCATAAGGTGAACTGATATTAGGGAATTAGGGATAAAGTTTCACCTCTTGATGTACAGTCCATGAAGGCGCATGCTTGTCATCATGAAAATTTCAATTTAATTTTTTGTGGTTGATAAAAATAAAAAAATGAAGAGGTATTACAAAGAACAGGAGAACAGAGGACTCTATGGATGTCAATAAAAAATAGGCGAGATAGGTTGGTAGGGTACCTTCTCAGGCATGAATAATGGCTAGTTAGTGACATATTAGAATTAGAAACATAAGCTAAATGAAGTAGAGATGCATCTAGATTAGATTACTGTTCACAAATAGTTAAGGGGTGGTCTAGTTTTAGGGAAATTCGACCAGTTAGTCTTAGGACTGACGACCTCATGATGATGATGAAAAGTAGTTAATTTTTTGGCATTTTGGTAACATCACAATATTTTCGATTCAATTTCACTGTCACAACCCACCACGGAGTGGATGATGTTTGTTAATTGTCTATATAAAAAATATATTTTTGATAATGTCGGTTCTAACATCCGGGTCATTCTTTCGTACTTGTCCCAAATAAATTAGTAATTTGTTGTAAAAGTTTCGATTTTAGTGTAAATAAAAAGCTCAAGTTCAACAAATAGCTGCGATCTTCAAATATCTATCCCGTTCACTCTCACTCGTCTTTAGTACCTAAATTTGAAATGTGCAAATTTTCTGTATTTACTCGCTTGCGATTTCACATACAGGTCGCTAATTTCGGTGAGCAAAGTGGGACGACCTTTCCGAGATCGATTTTGAACGCAATCGGCCTGTTTAATTAGCGCAAACAGCGCCAGGCAATATGCCTTTGAGATACATATTGCCTTTTTGTTTGTTTAAAAAATATCGATAAATATTTACGTTAAACAGAAACGAACTTGGCGAGACGGATGATCTTGTTTAAACTGGCACTGACTTTCTATGAACTCATGTGGGAGAAAATATCATACCTAATAAAGACTGTTTTTTTAGTAAAAATAGATCAATCAACAAAACCTTAATCTTTACCTAACCTCACTAAATAAAAAAAACTTTAATACGTTTTATTCTATTTGTAGGACTGTAGGTCTATTGAGATTTTATATATAGATTAGATTTTAGTCTTTATGTGTACTACTTTTTAGGGTTACTTATAGGATCACTCGTGTGTCTGTCTGTACGTTTGTCACAGTCAATTTGCTCTGAATCAGCCGGACCGATTAAATTGAAATTTGGTACACATATGAATTTCTGAGCATGGACGCATAACGTAAATAAATTAATATTGAACATAGGGGTCATTTTTGGAGGGCCAATAGGAAATTAAGAAAAATGTTTTGCAAAATATGCTGCGTGGCATATCAAGTGAAATGTTGTAAGAGTCTCAAATATATTTTTTTATGGTACCATATTTTTTTAAATTAATAAGTTTTAAGTTATTTAAGAAAATAGATGGAAATTGACCATCCGCCCCCTTTTCTCCGAAACTACTGAACCTAAAATTTAAAAAAAAAATACAGAAAATAGTTTTTTACTTATAGATTACGGGAAAATTAATAAGAAATCTATGGCCTGAACATAACGTGGTAAATCTTTTAACAAAACAATATTGCGCGTACATTTGCAGTTTAAAATGTTAAGTTGGTTCTCGGGTTAGGATTCTGTACGAAAACGGAACCCTTACAGGATCACTTGTGTGTTTATCTGTCCGTTTTTTTATTTTTTGTATTTGTATTAATTTTAGTTCTATGTACAATTAAAGTAACGAATTATGCTAGTGATTTCGTTTTACAAATCTAAAGACAGCGTTTTATGAATTACCACAAACAGCGTGGTAAACGCCATCTGTAGTATATTACTACCTTTAGTGGAATTCAAAAAAGTTCCACAAGATCCGTAAGGATATCGACTTATCGAACCGAATCCACAACACGACATAGCTAACTCTACGTGGCAGGCACGTAAATATACAAAATCAAAAGTTCAGGGTCTGTATTTAGTCGGAACTGTCTACGACGTGCTGATGAGAAGCAATGAGATCGAAATTGTGATCCGTTTTATGGTTTCAACAGAATACTGATCACCACAAACTTTCTGTTCTGATACAAATATAAGGTTATGTAATAAATTATTTTGCATTCTCTTTTCTTGACCAATTAGTATAAACAAGATGGAAAGTACGAACTGATTTGCAATATCTCATTGGAATTTCACATTTTCAATAGTACAAAGATGAAAATTCCAAATGGCACCGTAGAATTACCAAATCGATTCGGAAAAATCCTTTATTTCGGAAAACCAACTAGCGTATCGAAGTGGATTTTTGATGACACACTTTTTGTATTTAAACAAGCGCGAATGCGATAATAACGAATTTCACGATCAGACAAATTAATGTGTCGTGCGGGAGGTAGCAGTAGGTAGCAGGCGATGCATGAAAATAAGGCAAGCCGGCTAGGTCATGAGAGCGAACAATTTAAAATAAACAATGGTTTTCACTTTCCTTGGGTTTGTTTTATGTATCACTTAGACCTGTTCGTTGATATGTTTGCAGTTTGTATGATGTTTAATACAATGTTTATGCTCATTACAGTAGCTGGATAGATAAACGTTTCGAAATGATTGCTGTGACCCGCCAACATCGACTCCTCCGTATATGTATTAGGTGCATTTGTATAACCCACTGTTAACTATGGAATCGTTCAGTTTTTCTTCCTTTTTTGTTATTATCTTGCCTTACATAAAATTCATAGATTTAGAAAAGGCTTTTGACAATGTTAAATGGGACAAGATGTTAAATATACTTAAAAATGTAGGGATGAGTTATAGAGATAGAAGAGTGGTACTTGTTTGAGACATAGTCTGCATAAAGATCAACAGGTAGTTATAGAGCTGGAGCAGCAACGTAGAGAAGTGAATAGTAGGAAGGGAGTCAGACAAGGATGCACATTGACACCGCTACTTTTTAATCTACACATCGAAGACGCTATCAAAATTATTAAAGATAGTACAACTCTAAGGACATATAGAGGGTCAAAATAATAGTAGGCTTAGATTTGTGGATGATATAGCAGTATTGGCATCTACCAAGGAGGAGTTAGTTAGAGATAGCTTTAAATAAAACAGAAGAGGTATTGATAAAACTGTATCCATTCAATGAAAATTAATGAATGTAAAACATCAATACTGGTGTGCGAGGGAAGAAAAAGGAGGAAAAAATTGGTTGTCTGTAAGGTCGGTTTACTGACGATAGTTGAACGTGACAACGTCATAAGAAAATACTGATGGAATTCATTTTTCAAAAGAAAATTTTAATTTTATTTGTTTGATAGATATTTTGTATGGATATAGAGAAGGAGGTAAATGGAAATCACAATTGAATTGATCAAGTTACATTTATTTGTACGCATAAATACAATTATGTCAATTTTTATTTATTTTTTTTCCAATGTACATAGTTTTTACAAGTATGAATGTGCTTTGAGCAATTGTTTTACTACTTTTATTTACAACTTTTAAACATCATTAAAATTTTTGTACATCTAGCTTCAATTCGACAATATATCACTGAACATATATTTAATTTCGAAAGAATCATTACCTTTATCGCCGCAATGATCGTTGCTATAAACAATTGACACCACATTCACTTTTCACTGCACTTCCTACTTGACGAAAACATG